ACACACACACACACACACACACACACACACACACACACACACACACACACACACACACACACACACACAAATATACATAGAAGGAACTTAAAATTATGAATTAATGATCAAATAATTTGGGAATTAGAATTACTTATTTAAATGATTACTTATGCTAAAAGGTTAATGTGTACCATATGGTTGAAGTATAAGGTTACCGTAAACATATCAAGTATATACATATATATATATATATATATATATAATATATGTTGCTGATAGTCTTCTTGTCCATTTTGAAAATACCAAATTTATGAAATAAAATACTAATAGTTCGAAGGAAAAATTTATTTAGTCATTTAATTAATTACTTTTGTTTACTCATTGATTTGTTTACTTGTTATTCGACTATTTTGCTTTTTTTTTCTTAATTAATTATCTATTTGTTTAATAATAATTAACATATTTAGGAAAAGAGGAAATGAGTTATTTTTAATAATGAAGCAATAAATTGACCCTAATGAATATTATATTTTGTTTGCTTGGCCATTTACCAATACTCTTTCTTATGTTTACATTGTAAATAGAGGAGGAGAAAGAAGATGGATTAGGTATATTCCTGGATGATGAGTTACATCAAGATTGTAAATGACCAATAGTAGTACTTCACACTTTCTCTGTCCATTCATTTGAATATACAAAATATTGATTAAATACATATTCAATTGGAATAAAAGAATTCAATAATTTTATGCTAATACAATAACAGGCTATTTAAGTTACAATAACAGGCTATTTAGGCTTACAGGGATATATTTTTGTCACGAATAAACGGAAAAAAATTTCGTAATTAAAAAAAAAAGAAAATGATGTAAAAACTCATGAATTGACTATATTATGTCCCTACTAATTTATATTTATCAAATTGGATTGTAACTAAGATTTGAAAATCAATTTAAATTCTTTTCTGTATGCATAAAATATTATCGTTATGCATTTTTATGCATTGTATGTATGCTTATTGTTTTCATAATGTGAGCTAACAAAGAGCGCCATATCAATATGTGCTAATAAAGAACGTTAAATGGACATAACCTAACAAAAGCGCCAGTTCTATTGCATTCATATCTTTGAAGGATGTATATTTAAATCCTACATACAGAATGATAATAACATTCTCATTTTTTTGCTTTTAATTATGATCTTTGGTTTTATCTTGTAGTAACGTTTTGCAGCTTACCTGTACACGTTAATTAACATTTTGATTATGATTATGCGACATTAGTATTGCTTTTATTTAATTGCATTAATTATTCAAGTTTGAGTTTGAGGTATATTTTGCAATTATGGTATCAAATTGCCGCAAACTTTCATGAAATAAATTATAATTTCTACTTTAGATATGTTATGCTATTTGAAAACAAATGATATATCTATAGAGCATTTAAAATATGTTATAATTTATGATTAATTCAAAGTTGAAACAAATTCAGTTTTAAACAGTTTGGTAATTTAAAGGAAAAAAAAATCGACAAACAGTTCAAAGATTTTAAATTGCAAAAGTGAACGACAATGAATGCGGGAAAATAGAAGAAAAAGTAAAGTAACCTGAAAATTACAAATTTTTTTTTTCGCTTAGAACATATAATATTGAGTAATGTTTTGGAAATAATTTAATATATTGCTTTCAAAAATTACATTGTCTTAAAGTATCATTGGTAACTGGTCAGATCTTAATGTCCTGGTTGTTTTAATTCAATTTTCACTTTCAGCTCATCTAAAATCATGACTCCTAAGATGATACTAAAATTCCCCCTCTAATTCTTGAATAAATGACCATGATAAACTGAATATGACCATGATAAACTGAAATAATTAGTCAAATTAGTGAGATAACCTTGAACTCTACATAAAATTCAGCGCATTTGGTTGCGAAATAATTTGAGAAAAAAATCTGTCATATGTAGGAAATATTAGTTGGTAAAAGTAATTTTGCCTGCACCTAAAATAAATGAAGCAGTATGTTCGAGTAATAATAAAACAATGAATTGTAATTAAAATGTTGACGTGAAGAGTTGAATCAGCATTACGCCTATCTAAAACACATCATATCAAACTCTTCAGCAGGAATTGCGTCAATTGAAGTGGATCCATTCATTTAAACGAATGACCATCGTTCATCGTTTAATAATACCAATGTATTTCAAGAATCCTTCTGACAACTGTAAGCAGCAATTAAGCATTTAGGTTACAATGGTAATAATGGTACAACATCCTGTTCTATAATGAAAAAGATCTGCCAGAGTTTTTTGTGAGAAAAATCCGTTATATTGATGAGAAGAATGCGGGGTTTTTATGGTTAAAGAAAAAATTTTCCTAGTTTTCTTTAATTGAACCACTGAGATATATCAGGAAATCAATAGGGGAAAAAAAATCGAACCATGAAATTTTTGTTACACACAAAGAATATTACTATTCATTATAGTACTGCCATGATTGAAACAGATAAAAAACGTGAGGATATGATAAGAATTATCCATTTCAGCTCATAAACAGGGAAATAATCAGTGCAAATCCTCAGTTAGGCACGCGGTACAATATGCATATTGTGTAATACTTAATCCGGAAGGGATTAAGCATGTGCTACAACTAAACAGCAGTTGACACAATCTATTAACAGATCCTAATTGAGTACACCAATGCAGTTCGCTCTTATCCCCCATTTTGTATTTCGAATTAGTCTTTCGCCCTATTTTATCATTGATTCTTTAATCTGTGATTTGTCGAGTAGGGAAAAATGAATGAGGGTTAACTTCAAGCACTTTTGATAAGATGCAGAGATAAATTATGATCCCATTCAAATGCTTTTTAAATTCACCCTACTTTTTAAAATTTTCCTAACTCGAAAAAAAAAGAGTTTTAACAGAATTTTTCAGGCCCTACAGTCTTTAACTTTCATCTTCAGCTTTCCCAGTTCTCCTGCTATTTCTATTTCAAAAGTATACACCTTGCAGTAGATTTGCAGTGGAACAGACATAATTAATAATATACAAGTATTAAATTTATCCAATAGTTTAATCAAAACATTTTTGTCAAGGTTACAGCAGCATTTACATATAACTAACAAATGTACTGACATTTGACAATAAATGTACTAACACTAAATTATGGCATTTTCTATAATTTGATTGGATCTAAGTGGAATAAAACTAGTCTCAATTCTACAAACACAGATCTTTTGCGAAGAATATGATTCACGGATGAATAAATCTCGTTATTTAAAGCTCTTTTTTTTCAATAATACTTAATGCAAAACAATAATACTTGGCTTTACTTTTCTTTCTTCGACTGTTCATTCATGAATTGTTCTTTTTCATGCTTTGTCATGCTTGACTTGCACTGTTCATACAAATTAATGAGATCAAATGCGAGGATACAGTTCTCCTGAAAGTATGAACTTGCAAAATCTGTTAAGGAGTGTCGAGAGTAGAAGCGACTTTATCAAAACATAGGGATTTCCCAACAAAAGACAAACTTATTGGAATGAACTTCACTTCAACTATTAAAAAAATCTGCTTACTTCAGTGAAAATGAAAGGTAGAGCACGTCGGTTATGTACTGCAGGTCGCCGCTGTATCTCCTTGCCTTCTTTGAACAATGAAATCTGTAAAACGGAGTGAAACAGTACTTACTTCTTCTGAAAGGAAAACATGCACATCTTCGATTTCAACAAATGTACTTTTGAAGATTTGAAGTCAAACAGTCCAAAAACAAATTAAACATACCGTTGGTAACTGTCTACTAGTTGGATGTATATTGATTCGGAACCTCTTAGCTTCCTGCGACCATTTTCCCACGTCTAATTTAGCAAATCTTAGATTTGGCAAGTGAAACCTTAAAAAAATATCACAACAAATTTCATTGTCTATGCTCCATGCTAAAAAAGCTACATGGATAATCCCATCAACTAGTTCTAGGAGTTCGAATGAATTCAGAAATGCAAAAAGATTTACCTGTCACTTAACTCTGCAAAAACGTGAGAAACGTGTTTGCAATCTGGCGACCAAGAAGTGTAGAAATAAATTAACCAAGTCATTTTTGTATTTCGCTGAATTTCCTCCTAAAAAACAAGTATCATCAGAAACACTGTGCAATATATAAGAAAGACATTATCTAAACTTACATATAATTCTGTGTTGTTATAAACAAGTGTTCTCTCTGATTCTGCACAAACTGGTTCTGGATAGAAAACGGAATGTACTGCAAGAAGAGTAATAAGGGTCCGACACATTTTAAAAAGTTCAGCCAAGTGAATTTATACAGAAAATTATATAAAACAATGACTAATTAACAGACTGATTGGAATGACTTAGTAGATTTGAACAATTTGATAATATTCCTCCTTCAGAAATTAGTTAATCATACCCCCATCCATCTCTTCCCTGATCGACCGAAAACTGTGTTGCAGTGATTACTCAGACAAGTTTAACAAAGTTCATTCAGATTAAAATGAAGGATTCCTTTGTAAGTTCTTCTGACACAACACAATTTGATATTAAGCACCTGCTTATATGAAAATTTGAAAACTCCAGAAATAAATTTACCTAGACAAGCACAGATGTAGACAATACCAGCAATAAGGTCAGCCCTCAAAAATAGGAAAATATTGGCTAATTTGCAGAACAGGAACATATTCGCAAGGCAATGCATCCAGTTTGCTGCCTTCCGATTCTTGTAAAATATCATAATAGCAAGGAATACCATAATCTCATGTTCCCTCTATAACAGATTTTATTACGAACCTGAATGAGAGTTATAAATGGTGAACTAGCGCTGCTACAAGTCATCTTCCAAGTAACCTATCTTAAATATGTGGATATTCAACGAGTTATCAATAACATTTAATTTCAGTTCAACTGAAGATAGTCGACACATATGATTACATGGAATATGCTATGGATCTAGCATGAACATGCGATAAGAACTGAACCAGTGAGACTAGTGGGATATTATTCTGAAAAAGTTGAAAAGATTAGAAGGTTCCGAAATAGACTTACCCGATCAAGGCCACATTCATTTTCCGCGCCAAAAACAAAGGTACACAACCCATTCGTAATCTTCAAGACGAAGAAAGCGAGTGACAATATAATGCCACCGATATAATAACCCGTAGCTAATTTCTTCACTTTTGTTAACGTCTTACTAAACTGCATGTCGAACTAACGAAAACTAAAATTTGTAAAACAATCTTAAAAAATGAAATTTAAAAGCTGCTAAAAAATAAAGACGCGATTACAATGAGTGATAATATTTGATATGAGATTATTCGAATATTTCAAGTAAATATGGCAAGATAGAATTTTACTACCTCATTATTTCTAAGTGAAAACACACATGATATTTCCGCCGGTATTCACAACTGATATAGCACATAAAATGGTTAGTGGTAGTGAAGTAAATTAAGAGTATAAAACAAGGAGTTAAGGTACAAAAATTAAGAACTTACTGGTTAAAATTTGACAGTTCAACATATAATGCTTTAAAACGATCGCACTATACGGAGCTCATTCCATTACCTGAATGAAAGCAACAATTAAAATCAAAATCAGATCTAAAGAAGACTTTCAGGCCTATTCACTAGGTACATTCATAATCATTTCCAATTATAATCGAACCATTCATTAAAATCTTCCTGATGACAACTGCCCCCACCAAAAACACAAAAAAAAAAAACGATAAAAAACACACCTGCATCTCAAATTTCCGCTTTTTTTGTAATTCATCTATTAATTTTATGGCCCTGATATGAAAATTTCTAATCCTCTTATTTATTTTAAGTATTGTTTCGTATTTTTTGAACAAATTTAAAATGAATATGATAAATTGAAATTGCTATTTCATCAAATATTTTCAAACTATGTGCCCTTAAATCCGAATATCTTTCTAGGTGTAATTATGAAAGGTTACGAAAATTACAAAAAAAAAAGATTACCGAATAGGTACAAGATAAAAGTGTAAAATATATTATGCAATATGTAAATATCTATGACATAACGACAATTTTTCGGCGTAATTTTAATAAGAATATGAAAATTCTTGATTTCTAAGTTTGTTGATGAAATTTTGGAAATATTTACTTTCGAACAAAAATTAGATCACTTAATCTATCTCATATCAGTTAATATCATCTAGCATAATTGCGAGATTGCACTTATGATTTGGTTGATAGATGTGATAAAATGATTTCAAGTGATTAATAATTTCATTTCCATTTATTCTCAATTAATAGTTTTACCGGATGACTTGCACACCTATACTGCATGCTTTGCCATCTTTTTGTAATCTGCAGATTGCGTGCATTGAATTTGCATGAATCTGAAATGTTTTTAAAAATGCTAGAAAATATTCAACAATTCTCAATTTCTATTGGAAAATAAATCGGAAATGATTATTTAATTCAATTCGTTTGATACATGCTTATCTTTCTTTTTTATCTATTTTCATTTGTTTAAGTTGTAAAATTTTGATTTTATCATATATTATCAGTTATAAGTGATAGAATAATACTTTGATCATCATAACAAATGGAAGAATATGATGATGACAGTGATGAAGTGATAATGTAAAATTGCCCTCCATATCAGTACTTGAGCAATTTCGATGCTATCATCACTGATCCGGTTTTTTTTTCTTCTCTCTCTCTCTCTTTGGTATTTATTTCCAGTTATGTAACACTTTTAGTGATTTCTAAAAATTGTCATGTCAACAAGGGCATCATCATCATCATCATCATCATCATTACTTCTAATTGTCACCTTTTAACAACCTTCACAACCTTTGTAAATCATTTTATTCTTCGTTTGTTTTTTTTTTTTAGACTTTTTTTTAATCAAAATTCTAAGTTCCACATTTTTGTCAATTTTCTTTTTGTCTAATTCTTCAAACCAGAAGAAGATCACAAGAAATATTCGATCACACATCAATCAATTTTAATTTTTTTATTTTTTTTTACTGAATCTCGACTTCGTTTGAATTCTATGACAATCTTTTCATTATATGTATATATATTGCTCAAGTGCAACTGAAAATTTGAAATGCTAATTTTCAAAATCTTTCATTATTTTGATTAAGATTTTATTTATTTATTTTTTATTTATTTGCTTTTTTTTTTTTTTGTGAAATAATATGTTGTAAAATTTAAATATTAAGATAATTGTTGTAATCGATACGATTAAAGTTGAAAATATAGTATTTATTTAATAGTTTAGAACAATATTAAATTTTATTTAGGAAACCGGTTGAAATGAAAATGTTATTATCATTGAAGTATTCAAGAGCATAGACCCTACCTCTCTTGATACACATTTTATATCCAGAAACTAGTATACCAAAGAGATGTCCTCTTACCCATTCAATTCTTGTCCTCTTTTATCGTCAATCAATTAAACATTGGAAAATGTTTATTTCGATTAATTTTCACATTTTATAGGATATATTTTTAACAATATTTTATACTTTTTCAATCAAATAATTATAATTAATTTTAATTAATTTCAATTACAATTAGTTTTATTTTCTACTAATTTGAATTTCTAATGATTTTATCTCATTTCTCCAAAAAAAAAGAAAAAAACGAAAAAAAGAAAAATCTCTCCATTATTTATTCCAATTTGATGAAATATTTGTTAATCAAATCATCTCAATGATATTATCAATTATTGATAGAAACAAGAAAATTTTATCAACTACTAACAAATTAATTATCAATTTAAATCAATAGTTAGACTAAACTCTATGATATATACTTTACTGCTCGAAGCTATCTTATCAATTAGCACATATCTTCAATTGTCAGTCATATGTTGTTTTAGAGTAAGGATAAAAGATTGATAACGATTGATAATTTCATTCATTTTTTACTGTTTCTAATATAATGTGTGATTGATTCTTTTGAAATTTCAAAATTTATGCAAAAATTTTTAAAGGATATATTGATATGATAAAAATT